CGACAATATGCGTTTTCGCTGGCTGTAGCAGCGCTATAGCGCTGCACAGCAAAAACGCATAAAAATTGAAAGTACTACTCGAACGGCCGTTTTTCAAATAATCCATGCTCATTTACAAACACAATTGCGGTTCAGGTTTGAGTTGCTAACGATTTTCGAATTGAGGAGCTGCTTGAGGCTGTGTTTGGGTGGCTGAGTTTAAAATCTTTAGATGCATAGAGAATATCCCTGCAAAGTTTCAGTTTTCTACCTTTACTGGTTCAAGAAATCGCTCCCAGCCAACGTATTTCTTTGGGGGTCCCGTACGCGGGGTCTAGGCGCGTATGAGAAAAGATCTTAAAACGGTAGGATGACACACAAGGTAAGAACATATATCCAAAGTTTCAGCCCCCCAGCTTCCCTGGTTGCTGAGATGAAAGTCGGTGACAAAATGCACTCGCCTCCGATCACACACACAGGCAGCCTCTCGACAATATGCGTTTTTGCTGGCTGTACCAGCGCTATAGCGCTGCACAGCAAAGCGCATAAAAACTCGGCTTGGCTGGCGATCTATGGCGTTCTGGTCTTCCAGCGCTTTACTCTCTCATTTCTGCCAACACTATTTCGTGGCGCCGGTCGCTGGAACCTTGCCAGATGCGCTGGGTAGCGCTGCCCAGTGTCTGGCGGCTGAATCACGTGGCCGCAGGTGTGATGAGTGGAAGAATTGAACATGGTGGGGGATTGGGGACAGGATACAGGAGAGGAAGAAGGGTACTAGTCAGGATTTCGAAGCAAAAACTGCAGAGAGCAGTAAAGAGGAAAATAAAGCAACACGGCACTACAAAGAAAAGTAAATTAAAAGCGACCTGAACTTGTGAATAACAAGAAAAAAAGCAAAATCAAAGAATTGGAGCCAGTAACCAAAAGTAAAAAAATCAAAAGCAAACAAAAACTTTGCTTATGCGAGTAGGATTTGTCGTTTAAAAACCCGTCTTCAGCAAGCGTTCGCCGCATTTATGAGATTTATGCTTAGATGAAGCGGATGCAAATAAGTTCGACAGGATTTACTGAAGCTTGTGCTTAGGTGAAGCTGAGGGCTAATAAGCCCAGTTGGATTACACAAGAACTGCAGACATTTTCACAGTGTTGTCTCTTGCAGCCTGCAACTGCACACAACAGTTAATCCTTTGCTTTTTATCTTCAAAATCTCGCAGGAGCAAAGGCTGACTTCATTCCCCGGCATCCATTCCGCCCTGTTTTTGTCCAGTTCATGGAAGTTACTCGCTCTCAACTTTACCTAAGCATCAGTTTCATAAACAGGAAAGTCTGATGACGGGTTTTTGTGGAGCAGCTTTGCCTAAGCATCAATTTCATAAATAAAATAGCCTAATGACGGATGTGGAGCTTTACCTAGGCATCAGTTTCATAAAAAGGGAAGTCCCAGGAACACACTTCCTCGTCCTTTCCGTTCTTCACCGCTCCCCTCTCCTTTCAAATGTACGTTAGTTAGTCAATCGGCAAAGGGACTACGCCATTTAGCCCTTACATCCACCTATCCCAGCTCCCCTCCCCTGTTTCGAACGAAGCCCGCCACATATCACCCCCACTTCCATTTCCCACATTTGAACTGCCGCCATGCGTTGTGGAACAGCCCTACCTGCGGTAGGAAGAAAAAATTTCTTGCGACCTGTGTATGAGACGAGCCGAGCCGAGTTTTTGTAATTGCCGAATTTAGTAACTGCCTGCTACGGGTAGGCTTAGTGCAAATTGGTGTGGGGAGGAGAGTTTGCTTTTCAGGGCATAATCTTCTCGGAAGTGGATGGCGCAGAGGTCTGTATTCTGCAGTGCTGTTCGAGGGTTGAAGCTCTTCCCCAGCACTGCACATGGCGTGTCGCTTGCCGGCTACGATTGCGGCGATAGTCAGAATAATAAAAAGAAGTAAGTTGCTCTGTGTGTGTGTGTGTGTATATTCCCGGCAAACACTCCTGCGCCCTTGCAGCTATTTCTCGTTTGATTAAGGTCTGCCGATGTGTGGGAGGTTCTTTTT